TCGATCATGGGTTTGTACCCATAGAGATGTGTGCATAGTGATACTTTGGGGTATAATTCACTACTTTATTTTAACCTTGTCCACCTTGTCCAGCTCTTTCAGGCTGATTGCTGTGTCCCACTGACACGCATCCTCAGTTTTCCTGTTTGTTTGTTTTTGTGGGGTTTTTTTTACCTTTTCTTATTTTCTGCCATTACAAGATGCTCTGGGCTTCTGGTATATTTTCCCTGCTTGGCCTCAGGATCAGCCACAGGCCCTTTTCTCACAGTTTCTCTGCTTCGAGTGCAGTTCAGTCAGTGAGCAGCATCAGGTGTACCAGGCCCCATGCTGCGTGCTGGCCCAGCCAGCCATCTGCTGGGAAATGTGGAACCACTAGCTCTCTGAAAGAGGAAAGCCTCCAGTAAGTTAGGTTTTCCCAATAATTCAAGCAAGTATGTAGGGTTAAAAAAGGGGGGGGAAGGGTAAAGCCTGCATGGATGATGTCAAGGTTACTGACAGAAGGTGTCGCACATTCCTTACAAATGGTAATAAACTCTACCATACCAGTCCTTATAAATTCCAGGTGGCCATTGACCCTCACTAGATGTTTTCATTGCTTTGGGCTAAACGCTTGGAACTCTGAGTCAGCTGATGGTGGCAGTTGGTGATCGAGAGGGTTTGCAAAATGACCATTAGTGGCTATCTGTGTTTCATTTATGAGTGAGTCAAAAATGAAACAGAATGTGCGTGGGAGCCTCACGTATCCTTCAAGGACCCGAAAGACATCTCTGCTGCTCTTAGCCTAATGGTTATGGACACAATACTCTTAATCTGCATTATTAGTATTTTATCCATCAACTTCCTGAGGGGAGACAATCAGCAAAGCAAAAGGCCCTGATTTATAGCATTTCCTGATTTCTGCGGTGTAAAGACTCCCACCTGGCTGGTTTGAAACTATAGCATAAGGAGACCAGCTCATCTGAGCGCATCTTTATCCACTCTGCCAGCAGGAGGCCGGGTTAACTGAACTCAAGGGCATAGGTAACAGTGCAGTATAGCGAAGGAATTAGGAAGGGATGAGGTGTGAGTACTTATTACCATTGTTTCTGGTGAAATTTAATTGCAAATGTATAATCTAATTTTTATCTATGGCTGTGTTTAGCAAGCAGCTCACAGAATTCTGAATAGTGAATAAGTGGCCATCATAAGTCAGTACCAGCTGGCCCCAGCATGGATCTGGGACAGCAGTGATGATGACATAGGCCCTGCACAGGCAGAGACCATGGTCCTCTGAGCTTGCTTCCAAGACGTTGCACTGGCTGTGTGAAGAACATTCCCCAAGCATCATTGCTGGAAAATTGTTCACAAGCAGCCTGGTGGGTTTCATACCAACTGTTTCCTGTTTTCATTTTGGAAAATCTCCTATCCTCCATCAAGCAAGCATCTCAGACTTTTTTTGAGTATGACAAGCAGATGTAAATCATGACTTCCTCTGCTCCAAGAGGACTGGTTTGGGAGTCAAGCCCATGGTTGGGCTGTGAGACCTTGGATAGGTCACAACCTCTCTAAGCATCAGTGTTTTAACCCATAAAACGGGGGCACAGATACCTCCACCAACCCAGGGTTGCTCTGATACTGGGATGAGACCACATATGTTAAGGACACAACCCAGTCTCTGGCACATACGTGCCTCCTCCCCGTGGTGACTCATCCACAACAGTAGCAGTAACTACAAACTTCTGAGACCATGGCAAACCCTTCAAGGGCAAGGTCCACTTTGCTCTGGTATACACAGCCCCAGAGCCTCCAGGCAGAAGGTACACAGGTCCACTATGGCGTCCCTCTTATCCTGCAGCCTCAACGCTGTTGCAAGTCCATGCTGGAGTGGAAACACCAAGGAAGAGCAGGTGATCTGGAAAAATGGAGTTGGTTTCTAGAGTGAATCATTGACTGCTGTTTGTTCAACTAGAAGTAACTCAGCAGTGAGTGTGGGCCATGTGGTTATAGCCAGCTACTTCAAAGACAGTATGGAAGAATTTGGGAAAACAGATGCTTCTCAAAGACAGAACGAAAGGCAACCATTGGGCAATGTACCATGCAGTCAGAAACCAGGAACAAAAGAAAAAGAAGAAAGGAAGGGAGAAAGGAAGGAAGGGAAGGAAGGAAGGAAAGAGGAAAGGAGAAAGGAAGGAAGGAAGAAAGAAGAATTTACATGTATTTTTCAACTAAAATTTCTAAACCGGACTTGATATAACTCTTGACCTTGACCAAGGCTCCCTGCACATTCTGAGCACAGCACAAACTCCCTTTAAATGGGAGCCTTTTGCTCCTGTTTGTTTTTCTGCCAGCCCTTCTTGTAGTTAGCAGCAGCTATTTCAGAGGAAACCTTGACCTTGCCAGTGATAGAGCAGGGTTGCTAAGTAGAGAAACCCACTTTAACCTTCCAGTTTTGGACATCCTAAATCAACATGCTCCAGGAGGAAAAAAAAACACTCAATTTTCTACATCTGAACCCAGAGGTAGAGTTAGGCGACTCTGCCACTGAGCTCTCCCCCAGACCCTGACTGCAGTTTTTGCTGTATTTTATATGTCGTGCACTTCCCCTTTAGAGACCCTGCCACGGGGCTGTGTGTGCTGCAAAGGAGACCACCTCTGACCAACCTTCCACACTGGAAGTTCAGTGTCAGACCCCAGCCAGGGCTCCAACAGGTATCTGCCTGTCTTCGCCTATTCACCACGCCTCATTCACAGTTGTCCCGGGTAGAGTCAACGCAAGCGTCCATCCACAGATGCCTGGATAACAAAATGTGTTCTAGCTGTCCAGTGGAATATTAATCAACCTTAAAAAAAGGAGGGGATCTGGACACATGCTATAAGAGTCATGCTATGACTCTTGAGGACATTATACTAAGAAATAAGCCAGTCACAAAAGACAAATATTGTCTGATTCCTCTTATATTTGATACCAAAAGGAACCGGACTAAGAGAAGGAAAAGGGAAGAGTGGTCACCAGGGGCTCAGGGGAAGGCAGCAGGGGAGTTATTTAATGGTAATAGAGTTTCACTTTTGCAAGATGAAAGAGTTCTGGAGATTTATTTCACAGCAATTAGAATATACTTAACACACTCAAAAATGTTTAAGATCCAATTGGATCACATGCTCCATCCCTGAGCCAATCCCTATGGCCAAGGAATGTGATTGGCTAGTTAATTAACCCCACCTACGGTGATGGGCTGAGAGAGAGAGAGAGGTTGCCCAGAACCCAGGAAAGAGACTGAGTGATTCTGCCTGGCCACTGGAGCGGGTATGAGACTCGATCGCCTCCTTCAGAGCCTTAGCAGTTGACTGCAAGGTGTATTTACCACTTCAACCAGTAACTTCTAGATTTGTGTTCTAGAAGGTTGGGGGAAATACATTTGAATTTAGCTCTTCTTGCCTTCAACCCATTCTTTCAGTGTCAGTTAAGACAGTGGGAAACAATCACTGGAAAGACCGGGGCAAGGGAGCCCCAGAGGACAGGAGGGATGGCTGGATGGAGGAGGCAGCACAGGGTCAGAATGAGCACATGAGGGCAAGGTCTAGGTGGAGGGACTGAGGTGTTGACATGGAGAGAAGTGGGAAGCCACCTGAAGGCAACAGCGCTCTGAACACTGCCGATCCCATCCTGGAAACAGATTCCAAGTCGCCCGTATCCCTGGGTGGCTACAGTTAGGTGCTTGATTTCCCCCCACTCTGTTGTCACCCACTCCAAGAGAGTGACTCCAGGAGCATGCAGGAGCCTCACCTGTTTGACCCTGGGTCAGGCAGAGCAAGAGAGAGCATTCCTCTGGACAGGACCTGGCCGCAGTTTTGGGGAGCCCTGGGTTCAGGAGCCTTCTGTCTGTTCTTCATCATGTCTGAGCTCAACTTCTTTCCAGTCTGCAGGACAAGGTGAACCCTGTCAAACAGACGTGTGGCCCTGCGTAGACAGTGAAGTTTTGAACTTAGCGTCTCACTGGAGAGTGTGCCATTTCTGCCAAGAGAATTGGAGGTCTGGGGAGAGAGAGAGAGACAGATGCAGAGACAGAAAGACACAGAGAGAGGCAGGGAGGAAGGAAGGGAGGGAGAGCAGAGAGAAAGGGGCCATAGAATCTGGTCCTGGTCCTCTTCAGCGTACCCTCAACCCAGGTGACACCTTCACCTCTCCAGGCTCACTTATGACATGAGGAGGGTTGTTGTGAAGAACAGGTGTGTCCCCTGCGGTAAGTGACCAAACTCATCGACATCTCCATTTATCCACAAGGCGCAAGAGAGCAACCTCACTAAGCATTGAACGGAGACAGGCCAGGCTCTCCTTCCTTGGATGGATCCTGACTGGCTGTGCATTAGCCACAAACGCCCTCCCCAGGTCCAATGATGAAAGGCTCCCCATAGAGATCTGTGGGACACCTGAGGAGTCAGGGGTGCTGGATGTTGAGGGTGAAGACCCATGAGGAGATAGTTGGGGTCCCCGCCACCCCAGAGCTCTGAGTCCCAGGAAGGGCCGGAGAGAACAGAAGCATGGGTGGAAGGAGAACAGGCCTCAGAGCCCTGAGTGCTGGCCCAAGTCTCAGCCTTTCCTTTCAGCCACTATCTGAGCACCTGTCACGGTGTAAGTGCCAGGCATCATCTATTCTAGGTGCTGCAGACACTGAGCAAGGTAGAAGGAAAGGCTCTGACCCCCAGGAAGCATTCTCCCAGCGTGGCACTGGATATTGTACCTCATCAATGGCCTTGGAGAGGTCACCTGTTTTTGTGTCACAGTGTTGGATGCATTAAATGAGTTGGTACACATGAATGTCTCGGCAGGGCACCTGGCGTAATGACCAAGTGGTGTTGGTGGTTTCTATGTGACCCATGGCAGGGCCACCATCCTGAACTTGAGAGTGCCCAGGAAGGCTTCCTGGGGGAAGTGACTCAAGCCAAGACCTGGGGCTTGGGACAAAGGGCCACAGAGCATAACAACTGACCGTAGCCTCACTGACTCTCCTGTCTACCCACAGGTCTCCTACCCATGGATGAGGGCTCCTGCACCTTGGCCAAGGCCACAGTCACCTCGGACCACACAGCCACCCACACAGTTGCCCTTGCCACAACACATCCCCTTCCACCAGGGCATCCGACCAATCCCCATGCAGAGGAGCTGGTCCCAGGGGTTCCCCGGGCCCTCCATGATCCCGCCAGTGTCCCACCAGCGGCCCGTCAGTGCTGGCGGGAAGATGTTCTCCTTCATGATGGACCACAAGACCCCTGTCGTCAAGCAAGGTATGCATCGGGGCTCCAGGTGGGGGCTTCCAGGGTGAATTTGGAGCCATGAGGATGGGAAATAGCCATGAGGAAATAGTTAAAGCTCAGTGGGGTGACCTGTGTATCTTGATCTCCTTGAACTTTTTTTTGGGGGGGTGGGACTGATTCAGGGTTTCAGCACTTGCAAAGCAGATGCTGTACTACTTGAGCCATACCTCCAGTTCATTTTGCTTTGGCGATGGGGTCTCTTGAACTATTTTGAACTATTTGCCCAGATTGGCTCCTAACCATAATATCCCTGATCTTAGCCCCCGTGTGGCTGGGATTGCAGATGTGAGACACCAGTACCTGGCTAAAGGAAAAGTTTTTCTTTTGTTTTGGTTTTTGGTGGGACTGGGGATTGAACCCAGGGCTTCGGGCTTGCAAAGCAGATGCTTTACCACTTGAGCCACACCTCCAGTCCTTAAACTTAAAGAAAGAAAGGGTTATTTTGGCTCATGATTTCAGTCCAAGGTCTGCTGGCTCTACTGCTTTGGGCTGAGGTGAGGCAGAACATCATGGCGGCAGGAGAGTGAAGTAGCTCACTCTGTGGACAGGAACAGAGTGAGACACAAAACCAGAACAAGATCTGGTCCTCAGAGACATGTCCCCAGTGACTTCCTTCCTCCATGTAAGCCCCGCCCCCTATTTTCCACCCCCTCCCAGTGGTGCCGTCATGTTACAAATCCATCAAGGGATTCATCCATTGCTTAGGTCAGAACCGAACTCTCCCCCAAAGCCCATCAGCTGGCAACCAAACCCCCAGTACTTGAGCCTGTGGGGGACATTTCGTACCCAAACCACAACACTCTGTCCCTAAAATCGTAATTACCACTGTGAAACATTCCAGCCAAAAAGTAAGCACGACATACCTCATCTTTACTGTTACCATTGTCAAAGTGTGTCCCCATGCACCTACCACCCAGGTGCAGAAAGAACTCAGCCAATTTCCCCCACCTTAGCACGAAAAATTTCAAACATACAGCAAACTAAAAAGAATTTTTATTTTCCCTGATTTTACCTTTCTCCCTGATTCTATCATTAACATTTTGCTATAGTCTTTATCTTGCCTCTGTCTACCCATCCTTCTTTTCCTTCATTAATCCATATTTTGGTGCATTTTCAAAGCCAGTTGCGCACATCTGTAGACTTAACCCCAAACATTTTAGCATGTATACCACTAACTAGAGTTCGGCGGTATTGGCTTGATATAAAATTAACATACAATGCGTCTTAGTTAGTAATTGTTATATAACAATCTAGCAGCCTGAAACACACAATAAGTAAAAACCTTGTGTATTATACACTTTCCATGTGTCAGAAACTTGGGGGTCACTTAGCCAGGTGGCTGAAGCTTAGGGTCTCTCATGATCAAGGTGTCAGCCAGGGCTGTGCCCGCCTGAAGGCTTGACCAGCTGGAGAAGCTGCTTCCAACATGGCACCCTCACCTGGCTGTTGTCAAGAGGCTTCCATTCTTCACCATGACCTCCCACAGAGCTGCTGGAGTGTCCTCATGGAATGGCAGCAGCTCCCTCCCAGGAAGTGACCCAAGGAGCAATGTGGAAATGGCAGTGTCCTAATGAGTAAGCCATGAAAGTCACTCTGTCCTTTCTGCAGTATCACACAGGTCAGCTCTATCCAGTGTGGAAGGGACTACACAGGGACCTGCAGATAGGAGGCAGGAACCATTTGGCAGCCATCTTGGAGGCCCTCTGGTCCTCAGTGATTCACCCCCTCACACGTGTAAAATGCCCTCAATGCTCCCTGCCCCACCCCCACGCCTCATCCTATTACATCAGCTAGAATCTGAGACCCAGGTACAGAAAGGGCTCTTGCTACTTCCTCAATCTCCGCTTCCCACGTATAGTCCTTACCAACCCCAAGACCTTTGAAGTAAAGAGATAGGTCACCTGTCTCCCACATACCCAACAAATGTGAGACACACATGGGGTGCCTGCTGCAGACACTCTTCCTACTCAAAAACAGCAAAAAAACGGAAGTCCCTGGTCCATAGCAATTCTGAGACCAATCCAGGAAAATACCAGAATGCCTTGATTGGGACTCAGTGCTGTGCTTCCCAGAAATGACCTTCCCGTGCTCTGGGCTCTAGTTCTGCCCCAACTCATTCTGCCTGCTTTTTACTGGTGTTCACCCTGTAAACATCCAAGCCATGGCCACAAATGTTAACCTAAAGCCTTTGTCTGCCACTGTGGCTGGGATACAGAATGTGTCTGCAGAGGTTCGTGGGCTGAAAGCTTGGTTCCCAGGGTGGGAATGCTGAACATGATGCCTTTAAGACGTGGGCCCTCGCAGAAGGTGGTGAGGTCACAGGGTTTCCACCCATGGAAGGGATTAATGTTCATCGTTTTGGAGTGGATTTGTTCCCATAATAGCAGTTGTTACAAACGAGCAAAGGTGGCTGGTCCCCCTGAATCTCCCTTCCTTCCTGCACACGTGCTCCTTCTCCACTCAGCTGGTCCCTTTCACTTCTTTACCACACAGTGACACAGCCAATGGGCATTTTGCCAGCATGCAGCAACATGATTTTTAGACCCTTCCACCACCAGAATCATGAGCCAAATAAGCCTCTTTATTTTATAAGTTACTCTCCCTTGGGTGTTTTGTTACACCAACCAAGAAAAGACTAATGCGTCTGCAGAGGGGCAGCATCCATAAGCTGCCCAGACACCCTGTGCTTTGGCTGGATGATTTTCTGGGACCCTGCCTTGGGTCTTTCTGTGTTCCTAACAAGACCTCTATACCTACACCCTAGCTCCATCTTTGAACCACGTTTTCCTAGCAATGCCTTTAATTTGATCTTACCCTGGAACCTGTTTCTTAAAATTCACTTACCATCTGGAGAGGCAAGGAATTTTTTAACCCATCACATCATATCAAGTGTTCTCCTAGCTGGCCTCGCTCCTCTAACATTTATTGTAAGAAGCAAGAAGTAACCAGGTGGCACCTTCCCATGTTCCACCTGGAGATCTCATTAGCTAAATCACGGAGCTCATTAGGTGTGTTTCCTGCTTCCCACCTCACCACAGGGAGCTTGTTACGGAGCGTTCTGATACTGTAGAACAAGGAGCCAACAGGTTCTGAAACACTTCCTTCACCCCCTCCCACTCCCCCACCCCACCCACTGCCTCCTCAAAGGCACCAGGCAGGCATCTACTAACAGTCTTTGAGACATTGCAGAATTTCACTACAACTCTTCTCAAGTCGTCTGGCTTCTATCCACTGTCCTGTCCCAAAGCCACCCCACACTTTCAGATTTTAATAAGGTAGCATTTTGTGCTTGGTGTCAAAATCTGTAGTAGCTCTTTGCTGCTGCGTGACACATTCCCCAGATAACAGAGCTAAAACAACAGTAAACACATCTCACACAGTTTCTCTGGGTCAGGATTTGGGAGCAGCCTTGACTGGAAGTTCTGGAGTCTCTCCAACTGTCCAACTGTGGGCCAGGGCTTCAGTAATTCGAAGGCTCGAATGGGGCTGGAGGGCCTATTTCCAGGACAGTCCCCTCATATGACTTGAGGCAGGAGGCCTCAGTTCTTCACAATGGGACCTCTCCATATGCTACTGAGTCTCCTCGGGCTATGGCCACCGGCTTCCTCCAAAACAGCAGTCCTAGAGAGCTAAACAGGATCTGTCTCCTGGGGTCCGTCCAGTCTCAGGAATCAGACACCGTCACCCCTGTAGCACTATTGGTTGATGGAAATAACTGAACTGTGCCCTCCCAAAGCTCACACGTTGAAGCCCTAACCCAGGACCAGAGAATGTACGTTTGCAGATGATTCCTTTAAAGACATAATCAAGTTCCAATGAGGCCGTGGGGTGAGCCCAATTTGACTGTCGTCCATATACGCCAAGGAGATAAGGATGCAAGAAACACCAAGAATGTCTGCGCACAGAAGGAAGGCCATAGGGGACACAGGGAAGAAGAGGCCTCAGGAGAAACCAGCCCTGCCGTGATCTTGATCATGGATTTACAGCCTCCAAGACAGAAAAAGTACATTTCTGTTAAGGTCCCCGTGTGTGGTTGGTTTGTCATGGCAGCACCCCCTGACGAAGTCAAGCTTCTTCCAATCCCGAAAGACTACACAAGGGTACGACTTTCAGGGATGAGAATCATGGGAGCCATTTTGGAGACTAGCCGCCACAGGTGTTGTCTACCCACCCAGTTTTGTCAATCATATACACCCAGGTCACCCACACCCCAGAAAGCTGGGTCATGTCTCTTCTGTTCCCACCCCCAGAGGCAGCCATTCTTCTGATTCTTTCTCTACCATGGATTAAAGAGTCCTGTTCCAGAATCTCAAAATAAATGGAATCCCATAGTCTGTGTTCTTTTGTGTGTAAGAGGTTTTTTTTACACAGCGTATTTCTGAGATTCATCCATTTTGTCGACTGGGTCATGAGTTTGTTCTTGTTATCATTAGGCAATGTTCTATTGTGTGAACATACCACATTTCCCCATTCTTTTGTTGATGGCTATTTATTTATTCAATCAGTCATTAATCAGAGGATGTCTCCACTTGTTTCCCCAGGGCCAAGGTGAACTTGGTGCTTCTCTAAGCACCTTCCTCTCTCCTTGGGAAGTGAGAGAAGTCCTGTGGCTCTGAGGCCCTCAGATAGCCTGGCCCTTACCACCACTGCCTCCCACAGGGCTGTCATCTGGGTTGGGAAGTCACCATGATGTCTATTCTCAAATTTCCACCCTCGCTGTGCTGATGAGAGAAGGGCTTTCATCCTCCTGTGGGGGGAGCTTCCTGTGTCAGACCTGGCCTCTCATACGTTAGGGTGTACTCTAGGCTCCAGTCCTCCGGCCTGGAGGCTCTGAATTGATAGCACCCACTTTTGAGAGTTCCTCCCATAACAAACTTGAACTCTTCAAATAAGATTGTTTTGCTATTAGATCACTACCTTGCTTTAGGATTTTGAAATCTATTTGGAAATCCAAAGCCTAGGGTTTGTTG